GATCCTCTCTCTCTCTCTCTCTCTCTCTATATATATATATATATATATATATATATATATATATAGAGAGAGAGAGAGAGAGAGAGAATTTTGGTGATTTGCCTTCTGGGTTAAGAGAGAGAGAGATGCACATTTCCTCCGTAGTGATGCACATTTGTCACGTTACTTTTCAAAAAAGTTTTTAATAAATAATGTGTATATAATACCTTCCGGTCACTTTAAATGTATTTCATTCTCTATAAGTAAAAATAGTTTAAGAGTCGGATAGTGAAACAAATTTAACAATATTTTAAAAAAATTATTTTCATATATTAATAAATAAAATGTAGACCAAGTAGAGCATACAAATAACTATGTTGCAACTAGAAAAAGGAAGATAGTATAATAATATTAACCTTGATGAGCAAGGCAATATGTTTGGTACCTTACAAATTAAATAGGGAGAACTATCAAATAAGCCCTCGAACTTTCATAAAAAGTGCAAATAAGCCCTTTTACAGGAGGCTTTGTTCGGCTGTCGCCATTTGGGGCGGTTCTGGTGGAATTTTTTGATGAATTTTTTTAGCATCTTCTTGATTAAATCTAGTTTATTCATATCAAATTTAAGCTAAAAATTCATTCGAAAAGCTAATCAAATGATTTTCTGAAATATACTGTGTTGTATAACTGCACCGTTATCCTCAAAAATTCAATTGTGCCAATTAAATAATCGCAACACACGATATCTTACCTATGAAATGTCGTCGATCAATTGTAAAGTTGACTTTCTCTACATATAATCTCTCCCCTCCCTCTTACTCAAGCGGTCAACGTTGACTTTGCAAAAGACACCAACTTCTCTGAGGATGGTGATCCACATCAACTTCTGATTTCAATTGCCACATAGAAATTTAATTTAACCTGGCGAATTGTAAATTTTAAAAATTAATGATATGAGAACTACGTATATTTTAAGAAATTTAAACACATTTCATACTTTTTTTCCCTAAATATGAGTACTTGTTATCCTCATGTTCTGAAAATATAGGGAAGTAATACATACAGTATACTACCACTTATGATAGTGTATATTGTTATATTTAAATCCTGATAATGACAAAACATGGTCATAAATTTTTAGAATGACCATAACATTAATACTCTTATTTAGGAAAACAATATATTACTTATATTTCCAAATTACAAAACATTTTTACTTCTATTTCGAAAACATTTTTACTTCTATTTCGAAAACTTTCCGTTCAAAATGGTAAAGCTTACAGGTAGAGGATAAAAATATCAAATAAACCTAGTTGACTAAACTTAATGCATGGAAGAGAAGAAGCAAATTTGAAAGAATAAGACTCCCATAATAATGGGTCTTGGGATATGGATATACTTGTACTACGTATATAATACTCCCTTCATCCCAAATTGATTTACAAAGTCAACATTTTTAGTCAACTAATGTTAAAGTTAAATCTTCCATATTGATACTTAATTCAATTTTTTAATAATTAAAATTTACATATTCAAAAACTATATTAAAATCTCTTCAAAGTTGCAAACTCCAAATTAAAATATAATTAAATATTGATATCCTAAATTGATATCCAAAGTTGCGATATCTCTTCAAAAGCGCAAACTCCAAATAAAATGAAACTATTTGATCAAGAAAAGTCAATTTTATAAATTAATTTCGAACAGAGATAGTATAAATTTTAAGATCCTGCAGCAGTTGACCAAGTCCTCTCGCAGCCGACTTGCTGAATTAAGAGATGAATGGATGTCAAATCCCCCAATTACGCCTTGATTACATGGGATTATGATAAGAACTTCGAAAAGCGAAGTAATATTCCCTCAATAATCCTAAAGGCCGGTATTGAAAACACTTTATTGGTGCGGTAAATTATTATTTCAGCCAAGTTTTTGTATATAACTGATTTAGTTGTATAGTAAGTCAGCATACAAGTTTTTCATTCACATACTCCGTATTATGTTTTTCGTCAATGCATATAGATCGATATTTTATCTTAAGATGTTATTCAAGTTAAGTTTTTGTTAAGATTTGAGATTTCATCTTAAGATGTGAATCTGAACGGAAGAGTAGTTCATGATTTCATATTGTGTTTTATTATTCCATTCCTGTATGGGACATTTACTTTAACACGCCCCCTCGATTCAAACCGGCTAGACTACATCGGGATGTATACATGGGCTGAACAAATCCAGCCTTAACAAGCTATCATTAATTATTTGTGCTAAACAAACAATCTAATCACAATTGAACTTGGCTCTGATACCACTTGTAACATCCTGATCCCGTAGGATCAAGTGTTTTACTCCTAAATTCTCTCCGGACCTCTACTAGTGTCCTCACATACCAACACAACTTTTTACAGCACACTTTGTGCTCACTCGTGCGCGTCATGGAAAACTTATAAGGGTTTCCATCCCAAGACTGCTCATGCGCAAGCACGTTTAATTTGAAGTTCTTAGTGGATGAATATCTCAAAAACATATGCATCTTGTTGGTATGAGTAGTGATATTAATAATTTTAAGTTGATTTCAAGTATTACAATCATCCATTTGTCACCGTCTCACTCAGCACCATGACTCCATGAGCTACCCGCACGATCGATCCATTTCAATTATTAATGCGTGAAAAGGCAGCCATTTCATTATTGCTAATGATTGTTCCTAAATCCTAAGCTAGCGGATTAATTAATACGGCACACAGATGGTCACTCTTGTTAATTAGTTCTTTAAGTTAGCGGATTAGTACCGGCATCCATATATGGTCATAGTAACAAATTATATATTGAGATTCATCATAGTTTTTTAAATTGCACCCATCTCAGAAGGATATCAGTTTAGATTCATATTTTAAAACAACAACTTTTTTATCCTTCTTTTTCACTAATATTCTCAGCCTTCTTCACCTATTTTTCTAGTCTTCTTTGTTTTTTCTTTTACTCTTCACCTAGTATAGTATCCGTGCAATCATGAATATGCACGGGAAAAAGCAGTTGAATATATTTTCTCCCACTATCTAATTAAATATAAAAATAAAAATAACTTCATATGATTCTATATTTTCAAAAAATAAGAATACAATAAGGTAATATCATAAAGTATAAGTCCATACAATAAATATTATGAAAATTTAATTAACACCATTCATTAGAATTTGCTACTTGTTAATTTTCATGATTAAATTAATTTTAAAATTAAACACTAATCTAAAAAATTGAATACAATAAATATTAAAATTAATGAATACTACATATTAGTTATATGAGAACTTGTTACTCGTTAGTTAAATTAGTGCTAACATATGAGAGAAAATTTTAACACTCAATTGTTAGCCGGATTAAATTATACATAAAATCACTACATATGATAAAGAAAAGTTCATTGCTTAATTGTTAGCTCACTTATTTTGTACCTAAAAGAACTATGTATATGAGAATTTCTCTATTCCATTATTAGCAAGTTTTTTTTCTAATCTTCTAATCTAGTACTCCCTCCGGTCCCAAAAGACATTCACTCACGGTTTACGACCATAAAGCAACTCGATCCCTGTTCACGCTCGGATTATTTTTAGCAAATAAAATTTACATATTTAGAAACTAAATTAAAACCGCTACAAAGTCTGATCAAGAAAATTTAAATTTGATATATAAAATAAAACATTAAGAGTGATTTAAGTTGACTAATGAATAGTAAGTGCGAATTTCATTTAGGACCGGAGGGAGTATTACATATGAGAGAGAAAATTCATCCGCTCAATTATTAGCAAGTTTATCTTATTATATCTAAAAACACTACATATGAGAGAGAAATTGTCTCGTTCAATTGTTAGACGGCTTATGTTATATCTAAAAGCACTACTCATAGGAGAGAAAATTTTTCATCTCAATTATTATCTAGACTATCTTATACTTAAAAAGAGAGAAAGTATGAGAGAGAAAAAAACAATTTTCTATCAATTATTACATACTCCCTCCGTCCCAAATTGTTTTTCAAAGTCAATATTTTTTTGTCAATCGATAATAAAAGTCAATCCTCCCTATCAATATTTAACACATATTTTAATAATTAAAATTTACATATTCACAAACTATATTAAAATCTCTTCAAAGTTGCAAACTCCAAATTAGAATATAATACAAAATTGACATCCTAATTAAGTGATAGTATAGAATTGTTATTGTTTATGTTTGTAATTTTAACTAGTTTTATTTGTTGTTGTTTGGGAAATTACACACTCTTGGTGTAATGCTTTATTTTTCCTAGTTGCTTGTAATTTGTTTAGATTCGGAATTTTCTGAGCTTAAACTAGGTAAAGATAATCAAAAGCATCATCATGGGAAGGTCAAGGAAAGTGCAAGGGAACAAGAGAAAGTGAAAATTTTGGAAAATAGTCAAAAACCCGGTCGGGTAAAGCAAAACCCGATCGGGTTTGACTTGACGCGAAGATCAAATCTGATTTAAAGCCAATTAAACGTACAGGGCGAAGATTTGGTAAAGATTTGTCTTTTATCCGATCGGATAAATCAAAAACGTGATCGGGTAGATGTGACTAATGAAGATTCCGGGCAATTACTCAGGAAACCCGATCGGGTAAATAAAAAATCTGGTCGGTTAAATGACTTTGCCACCTCCAAACACCTATAAATACACCCCTTTTCCTCCCCATTTGATCACCGATTCCTATACATTTCTAGGCTCAGTTTAGTTAAGTACTTTCTTTATATTTTTATCATGTTTAGTCTCCAAATGAGGAGCTAAACTCTTCTATCTTAGTTTTGCTACTTTAAAGCTTAATGCATTGTAAGATGTCAGTTATTTTCTTTGATCTTCTTCCTTGAATATTAATTAATTCCTATTCATATTTCTTTTTTTTTATTGGTTTCAATTTTTTTATGAAAGGTAATTGTATTATTCCCACCCAAAAATAACAAAAACATGTGTCACTACCATTCAACCCCCCCCCCCCCCCCCCCCCCCCCAAGAAGGGGAGTGGAGAGAGAGATTTTTTGTTTAGAAGTCAAAAACGGCGCGGGACAGGTCCCGGCTAGTATCAAAAACATCAAAGAAATCTGCTCGTCATCCACTAAGCACAAAGGATCCGAAGCAATGAAGCCCCTTCCTCCAAATAGCTTTGCTCCAGCGGCCCAGTAACTGCCCAGCAGTGTCAAAGCCCGGAAGTAGGCAGTCCAAGCAAAAAAGTCCAATTTGGGTTCAGGGTCCAGGCCAATAAAGGCCCATTGCCCAAGCCCAAAAGTCAAGCCAAATTCCAAGCGGAACAAGAGTTCCGCACTTCCGCACCAGATGCCAGCTGCAGCAGAAGAATCAGCCCAAAGTAGCGGCCCATCATCAGCCCACCGTGGCAAACCCTAATCGCTACAGGTAGCGCCACTTTTGCGCCGCAGCTCAGTTGGCATAATTCAAAATTCAAACCATTGGAACAGTACACTGGCGTGGACAGGTTGGCATGTGGTCCAATCAACGACTGGCTGTCGTTTACTATTCTGCTCGTCGTCCCCGGCAAAGCTCCGGTCAATGCAACAGTCGCCGGCATAAATTTCCCACCTCAACCACGTTTGCACGCAGTCCATAGTCGTCCACCATAGCCCCCCACCACCAACCACCCCACCTGGTCCCCGGAAACTACCAAGTGCAACAGTGGCCGTTGGTAAGAGCAAGTAACACAGCCGGAAAAGGTAATAAAGCCAAAACGTTGCTCCGTCCTCCACCTCCTACCCCCGTTGGACCCCGGCAACCCCCAACGGTGACGGTAGACAGCCTCGGAAGGCGTTTTGACAGTAGCCGAAAACGATAGCATCAGGCGGTATCAACCCCCACGGACGGTGGTTTCCTCTGGCGCAACCTGAAACTTTCAAAAGAGAAAGCCACCCAATAACTCCAAAACCAGAGCTTCAAAACACATAGATCCTGTAGCGCACCAGCCCCTCCGGTCATCGTCTCCGGCTAACCCCACAACCAAACTTCCAATTCGAAAAAACAAACATCCTTAACGATCCTCAGAGCAGTTCTAACAGCTTAACCCAGCCATCTTCCACTCAAACCTTCAATTAGGACTCATTCATCTTCGTCCCAGCCCCCCAAAACCGGCGCCCGAATTTACTAGCAGACCTTCAAGTCGGAATGAGAAGACTCCGGCGAGGTTCCACTGGACAAAAACCAACTCATAACAAACTCCTCGACCTTCCCACAGTACCTAGGTAGCTAGTCCATCACCCCAGTTCGCCGGAAACTCCAGCTCCCCGCCTTCCGTCCCTCCTTCCACCAACATAGTCCGTTAACCAACCCTACATTCATCACCGCCCCCGGCGTTTCCCCATGACTACTAACGAGAGTCTATAACTCGCACAGGCAGTTTCCAGTGAGACATCCACCAAGAAGAAGGAAAAACACCGAGATCAAAGGGGAAGAACAAGCTAACCTTCAAAAACATGACCATCGGCTCCAGCTCTATCCATGTAGCCCAGCCATCTTCCACTCGAACTTTCACTACGGGCTCGTTCATCTTCGTCCCAGCCCCCCAACCGGCGACCAAAGCTACTAGCAGACTTTCATGTTGGGTTTTGCAGAATCCGGTGAGCTACCATCGGACAGACCAGAGCTACAACCGTCCACGAACCATTACCCAAAAATGGGGTTCCAAAAAGCCCAGACCAGACCGACCGGAGCCAGGAGGGCTCCAGCGGTGCGCCTCCGCCGGTGGTGGCGCCGGAAACCATGAGAGGGGGTAAGAGAGCAATCTAGAAATTCTAGTGAGAGATACTCTTCTTCCTATTCATATTTCATATTAATATTTTGAGCATTACTTAAAGGATCAACTAGTTTTGTTTCATATATTAATTATTACTATAATCAATCGATTAATACGTTTGTTATTAATTCAGTTCTTTCAACGGTAGTAAACTTTGATTATTAATGCATGCGTCTCATGGTTAATAATCTAAGGGGAATTAATTATATTGATTAAATCAATAAACCGCTTATGTTGAGGTTATCAATCTAAATCGTTTTCATCTTAGGTTTATTGCTACTATCGGGTTAATATACGGCGCATGTTCTATATTGACTCGATAAGAAGTTTTATTAATGAACGCGTCTCGTTATTAATAACTACCCTCGATGAAATGGAGATACTCGTCGATTGAGTATTTGAGAGGAAGATAGTTAAAGATATAACCGGTATCGACGAACATTTCATTAAGTGGATAAAAGCAAAACCAAGTCATCATCTCTATTAATTAAACTCATACAAGTCATTCATCTTAGTGTTAATCAAATTAAATCAAATCAAACTTAAACCCCCTTTGTTACCAGTTACATAAAAGAAAAGTATTCCTTTCTCTGTGGATACGAACGTTACTACACTATACTATGTATAAGTGTTGTATTGTATTTATTATTTTGACCCACGTCATTACAACGTGCACGTCAAATTTGGCGTCGTTACCGGGGAAAGACAATTATTTTTCTTTTTACTTCTTTCAAGAAAAATCAAAAACAAATTTAATAAACAAAATATAAAGAGTTCTTACTTTTTCTATTTCTCAGCTTTGTGAAGTATATGGTTAAACACCGTTCAATAAACGAAATCACCTATCAAACAAACCCGGAAATAGAGCAAACTTTTGAGCGGTTGAACAGTAAATTTTCAAATACCGACTCGGAGTAATCATCTATCGGAGATTCATCGAACGCTAGCTCTAGCTCTAGCGAATCCAAAGAGTCCTTCCACATGGCTCTCGAGACAAGAACACTAAGAGAGCTCACCGCCCCAAATCTCAACCAAAAATCGTTGTGTATTACATTCCCTACCCTCAAATTAGTCATTCATCTTAGTGTTAATCAAATTAAATCAAATCAAACTTAAACCCCCTTTGTTACCAGTTACATAAAAGAAAAGTATTCCTTTCTCTGTGGATACGAACGTTACTACACTATACTATGTATAAGTGTTGTATTGTATTTATTATTTTGACCCACGTCATGACAAAGTGCACGTCAAATTTGGCGCCGTTACCGGGGAAAGACAATTATTTTTCTTTTTACTTCTTTCAAGAAAAATCAAAAACAAATTTAATAAACAAAATATAAAGAGTTCTTACTTTTTCTATTTCTCAGCTTTGTGAAGTATATGGTTAAACTCCGTTCAATAAACGAAATCACCTATCAAACAAACCCGAAAATAGAGCAAACTTTCGAGCGGTTGAACAGTAAATTTTCAAATACCGACTCGGAGGAATCATCTATCGAAGATTCATCGAACGCTAGCTCTAGCTCTAGTGAATCCGAAGAGTCCTTCCACATGGCTCTCGAGACAAGAACACTAAGAGAGCTCACCGCCCCAAATCTCAACCAAAAATCGTTGTGTATTACATTCCCTACCCTCAATGAGGGTAATACATTCGAGCTACGATTTGGGCTCATTCATCTATTGTCATCCTTCCATGGCCTAAGAGGGGAAGATCCGAACAAGCATTTGTCGGAATTTCACATCGTGTGCACAAGCATGTGCCCCAATGGTGTCACAGAGGAGCAAATCAAACTGAGAGCCTTTCCATTCTCACTCAAGGACACGGCGAAAGATTGACTTTTCTATCTTCCCTCAGGAAGAATAGATACATAGGCGGCCATGAAAAAATGCTTCCTTGAAAGGTACTATCTTACCTCCATCTCCTCGATCTTAAAGAAACAAATCAGCAACATTGAGCAAAAGGAAGATCAGTCCTTGTATGAATTCTGGGAATGATTTAAAAAGTTATGTGCTAGCTGCCCTTATCATGGCTACACAGAGCAAGACCTCATACTCTACTTTTATGATGGTCTTGTTGATGACGATAGAAGAATGGTGAATGCCGCTTGTGGAGGAGGCATTGTTAACAAAATTGCCTCACAAGCAACGAGTTTGATTTCAGAATTGGCCGAGAACTCACGGCAATTTGGCCGCAAATCATCATCTCGAAGAGTTCTTGTGGCAGAATCTAGAACATCTACCTTGGAAAATCAAGTTGCAAACTTGACATCACACATGAAGGAGTTTATCTTGGGTTCAAGAACTCAAGAAGTGAAACCATGTGGCATTTTCACATTGCCCGTACATTCAAGTGATTCCTGCCTAACTCTCCAAAAAGAGCAAGTCAATGCATTGGGTTTCCAAAGACATCAACAAAAGAGGTACGATCCAAACTCTAACACTTACGATCCCGGTGGAGAGATCATCCCAATTTGAGATATGAGAACCATCAACAAAATCAACCCTTTCAACAATCCTTCCCAAATCATCAAGGCCAAAACTCCAACTCTAACATGTCCACAGAAGACATAGTCCGGACTCTTGCTACTAGCATAAGCACCATGCAACAAAACATGGTGCAATTTCAAAACGAAACCAAGTCTAGCATTAAAAACTTCGAAAGCCATGTGAGTCAAATAGCCGGAGCTGTAAGCAGGCTTGTAGCAAAAGATTCGGGAAAGCTCCCTTCTCAAACAGAACAAAATCCAAGGCAACATGTTAATGCGATCATGTTGAGAAGCGGAAAAGAATTGCAAGAAAGAGAGATCCAAAAGAAGGATGAACAGGTGGATGTCTAAGAGGAAAAACAACCAGAAGAGATGACCACAAAGAGTCCACCATTGTCATCATACGAACTACAACCCCCGTTTCCCGAAGCATTGAGGGAGACAAGGCCGCTGAAAAATGACAAAGACATGTACGAGACATTCGTCAAATGTGAGGTAAATATTCCCCTCCACAACTTAATAAAAAGTGTCCATCGATTTGCTAAATTTTAAAAGAATTATGCACAATCAAAAGGAACACATCGCTTACGAGGAAATGAAAAAATTAAAGTTAGTGAACATGTCTCGGCAACTTTTCAAAAGAAACTTCCACAAAAATGCATTGACCCAGGCATGTTCACTATACCGTGGAAGCTAGGTGACACCATTTCTTCTAAGTCCATTTTGGACTTAGGGGCATCAATTAACGTGATCCCCTATACACTTTATAAATCTTTGAACCTTGACCCTTTAAAAGAAACCGGTGTCATAATCCAACTAGCTGATAGGTCGAGTGTTTCTCCAAAAGGAGTAGTGGAAGACGTACTTGTGTCATTAGGTGATCTAGTGTTTCCTGCAGATTTTTATGTACTTGAAATGGAGAATAATAAACATGAAGTCCCCATTTTATTATGGAGACCATTTTTAAAAACCGCTAACTCAAAAATTGATGTTTTTAGCGGGTTTTTAACTATGGAATTTGATGGAAAGAAAATAGAATATAACATTTATAATTCTATTAAACATCACTCTCCTTTTGAGGAAAAAATTGAATCAATCTTTGATATTGGTGAAGCACTAGATCAACCACCGTTAATCAAACCTCCTGAATATAAGTTGAAACTACCTGAAGTTGAGGTGGTAACAAAAATAAAAACTCGGCCTTACTGGAAAAGGCTGAGAAAGAAAAATGAAACAATGCCAAACAAGCCCTTAAAAAATGAAAAAAGGATGTTCATGATCCCACATAAATTGAAAATAAAATAAAAATAAACGTCGTGTCACGACGTTAACTAAGGTGCTTCTTGTGAGCAGTGGCGGACCTATATATGTTCAAAAGTATTCTTGTGAACACCCAAAGAATTTTTTTTGTGTATAAAAATACATATATAAATTTTCTAGAATTTTTTTTATAAATGGATTTGAACACCTAAAATTTGAAAAATAAATTTGAACACCTAAAACTAACATGGTAGATCCGTCACTGCTTGTGAGGCAACCCAAGTAAAATACTTAGGATTTTTACTTTTATTTATTTATTTATTTTCAATTTGAGAGAAAGGTAGGGCACTAACAAAAATGGTTTTTTAAAAAAAGTTTTCGAAAGGCCTGGGAAAAAACCTGGTCGGGTAAACCATAAAACCCGACCGGGTGTATACAAAAAAAACCACTGCCAGCCCTGGGACCGAAACCCGTCCGGGTAAATACTAAAAACTCGCCGGGAAAATAGAAAACACAAAAAAGGAGAAAACCCGAAACCCGATCGGGAATACAAAAAACCCGACCGGGTAAAAAGGCGAAAAACTCACTGCCCAGCGAATTTTCAAAAACCCGTCCGGGTATTTCAAAAACCCGATCTGATAAACAGGTTTTTAACCCAATTTTTTCCCAAAAATCTGTTCGGACCAAACCCCATCTTCCCCAACTTTCAAACTAATCTTCCCCAAGACCCACAGCCATAAAATTCCTTCTTCCAAGTCATCTTAACCCCTCACCGAAATCCATAAAAATCCTCTCCTCATCTCGCTCATCACTCTCATTCCATCAACACCCACTTTCCCTCCCCAAATCCGAAAATCTAGCCCAAATAACTCTCAAATCCCAAATTCTCAATCACAAAGAAGCCATTGGCTACCAAGGGGATGAGGATGGCAAGGAGCACTAGGGACAGTGCTCGGAGTAAGTAGAGGGGAGTCACTCATTTGGTATATACTCATTCATTTTTTACCTTGTAACTTGCATTATTTTCTTCAAAAAAACAAAAAAAAAGAATAAATAAATAAAAGAAAAAATGCTAGTTAGGTTGAAAACTCAAAATTTGGGCAATCCAAGCAAAAGTGGCTAAATGAGTGAGTTGGAAGAAAACGGAAAAAAAAAAGGAGAGGCTAGAATGAAAACCTGAAAAGGCTCCTAGACAGAATGAGAGAATGAGAGGAAATTTTATCTAAGATTATACGGGATCTCATTTCATATGGGAGTTTTTGGGATACAATCAATGAAAAGAACATTTGTTCTTGAAGATCATGAAGACCCTCTTTTCTT